GACGAAGGAGAGAGTTATATATTGATTAAGAATTCAGAGAGGGATGAAGTTGTGAAAGAAGTAGAAGACAAGGTAGATGCAGGGATAGCTATTTATGAGAATGGTCTTGATAAAAGAAGAGACACAGAGACACAAGGTGAGGGAATGGATTCAAATATATGTAAAACAGAAAAGGAAGCGTCAACTGGTAAAGAAGAGAGATGTGTATGGATTAAGGACTCAGAAAAGGATATAGATATAAAAGAAGTGGACGATATTGTAGACGCAGGAATAAATACTCATGGTACAAGTATTGATAAAGGAAGTGGTGTTGAAAGAACAGAAACAAATATATGTGAAACAGGTAACGAAAATCTTATTGATACCGAAGATAGATGTTTATCGACTGAGGATCATGTGAAAGATGAAGATTTAAAAGAAGTGGATAGCATGGTACACACAGGACTAGATATTCAAGACACAGGTGGAGCGAAGCGAGAAGCTGTGAGAGAAGCAGTTAACACAGTTACAGAAGCAGTAACAGAAGCTGTCACGGAGGTCGTAAAGTCTGTCATGCCTGTCAGGGACATAAAGAGCATTGAATGTGACATAGCGGCACCCACTCAAGAAGCTATGAAAGAGGCGATGAATATAGCTGCAGCACCTGCCTTCCCAGCCCCGTTGATTAGGGAATCATACCTGCAGGATGAGGACCTTGGAGGAGAATGTACAGAAGTTCCTCCAGAGAAAGGACATCTCCTATCTAAGAGCGCAGCTGACTTTATAGATAAGATAAAGAACTACATGAAGGATCAAGAAAGTGATGATACGCCCCATGTAACCACCGTCGCTGCTGAAGATGCGGATGATGGCAGTGCCTTAATGCGGCTTGTCAAGGTTGTCGTGGAGGAAGCTGCAGCGGTCTTGAGAACCGTCTTGTCTTGGGTTTTCCCGGATAAGATGCCCTTGCAGCGGTATGATCAATACCTTCTCAGGGACAAAAAGATGAGCCGTGCCTCTTTCCGCAGCGTCTTCAGCAAGAGCCACCAGGAGAGGCTTCAGATGGATCCTTCAGGAGCCACTTTCGACCTCTTCCTCTTATGTCTCCTTCTGGAACATGGCACCGATAAACTAGCTCCCTCTGGGGACGAGTTCTGGGCTCAACCTGGGGATCACCTCGAATTCCAACTGACATCCTTGAGGGAGTTCCGGGCGAGCGTATTCCGCGGAGGCTTCGTCACCCAGAAAAATCTCATTGAAAAAACAAAATCAGCAGAGGAGACGCTGACGAAGATTCTCAAAAGTGCAGGAAACATGAGTGTTATCGAGTATGAAGTGATCACTCAGAAGATTCAGGAGATGACTGAAAACATTGCGAGTGCTAAGAGTAATGCAAATGTTCAGTGGAACGTTAGCAGCTATGGCAAGACAATTCTGAATGAGGAGAAGGCACAGTTGTTGGTCCTCCTGGGTTCACCACAGCTCAGGCGTTCATATGACAATATGACATGTCAAGGACTAGTGCCAGTCAAGAATATTAATCAACATCTACAGCTCGAAGCGATTTTCATGGAGGTAGACATTGCTGAAGTTACAATTGATGGAAACTCCAATAACGTAGATTATGATGATCTATTTAATATTCCTCCTACACAGCAACATGGCACGGACAGACTAACCTCTTCACAAGCGGTTCTCCTAGAAGGCCCCTCAGGCTTTGGGAAAACTACCCTCTCCAAAAAGCTGATGCTAGACTGGTCAAAGAAAATTAATTTTCCCAGAGGATTGGATAACTTTGAGCTTCTCATACACGTTGATTGCAGGAATCCTCATATAAAATCCTTCAGTGAACTGTTAAAAGCACTGATGCCCGATGCAAGGAAATTGTTTACAGATGACGACGTGGTTCAGTGCCTGTGGGATATAAAGACCCTCGTACTTGTGGATAGCTTGGACGACTTGAACATGTCTTCCCTTCAGGTCGTTCGAGAGATGATCACGGCAACGAAATCAACGAGCAACATGACAGTTTGGGTCATGTCATCTCCTGAGGCCGCCGAGGACTTCCATAAGATCGTGCTCAGTGGTCTGTCTACCTCACGCTTGAGTATCATCGGTGTCCCCAAAGACAGGCGAGGAGAAATGGCAGTCAAACTATATAAAAACCTCGTTCAACCGGACTGCGACAGCCAAGAGTCAAGTGGTTTAGAAGCCTTTATCAATGCTACTCCAAGACTGCTTGAGGAATACTGGCGGTGTCCCCTTAATCTAGTATTGGTTGCCTCACTCTGGGCCGCGTCTCCTGAGAGTGTTAAGGGCCTCAGATCAGCTACAGATCTATTGTTGCAAACTGATAAGTTATGTCAGAGGGATCTTTTGGCGATCTTGAGCAAAAACCCAAATACCCGGCATTTCGATGTGTCAGAGCTAAAGGACAAAATGAAGGTCCTTTTCTTCTGGCTCTGCAACGAGGCTTTGTTCGCCATAAAGAGAAATAGCAGCATTTTAGCTGAAGAATCCATAAAGCGACTAAAACATGCTTGTCACTCTGTTGGTTTTCCTAGTCATGTCGTAATGGCCAACTTCCTTAACAAAGATACTGTCTTGACAGCCTCTGGGAAACAGGATGTGTACAGGTTTACACATAAGAGGTTACAAGAATTCTATGCAGCTGTGGCTATAGTCAGTAGGCTTTCGGAGAAGGAGAACGACGTGGATCTTACAAAGGTGCTCTTCGACCTTCAGACTGTCCTCTCTAGCCACAACATCTCAACAGTTCGAGCCCAAGAGGTTCTAAGACACGCCCACGGTGTCCTAAGCGATACAAGGGAACACAGGAAGAAAGGCCTCTTCGGAAAAATCAACACGGTGTTCTCGTCCCCCAAAGAATCAGCAGTGGTGACCATTCTGAGGGAAGGAAGTCACCATCCACCCACGCTACCGATCTGGAGATTCCAAAACGTCTTTGCCATCTTACTAAGCTTCGTGTCCGTCCTCGGAGAAGACATCAGGCAGGACACAGCTCGAGAACTGGTATTGCTTCTGGAGCGAACAGGACTGAGAGACAGGGAATCGTGGCTCGACGTTCTCATGAACGCGGGATGTGATCCGCACGTCGCAAGGGAGATGGCCCGCTGTATCCCTGACGCGCTGGACTTAGACGGCGAAATCACTGTAAGGGACAGCCGGGTACCCGCCTACGCTGTGCTCTTGAAATACGCTCGACCCTCTAGAGTGACAGTGAACATCTCTTGCGATCCAGGGGTGATTCCGAGCTGCCTGGACCTTCTGATGTCACTCAGCCAACGTCCGTGCGAAGTCCAGCTGCTGCTCAAGCATGACTTCTTGCATCCGAAGGTCATCTCGAATGCTTATAATGTGACGCTGCATCATGTCTTCCAGTGGTAAGAATTTTCTAGTTTTTAGTCATTTCTATTTTTATTTTTGTTTTTCCCTTTCCGGTGGCTATATAATACATCTGTGAATAAATAATTTATAGTGTAAGTAGAAGAGTAGATGAAACTATAACTGAATCATTCTGATAGAGAGTGACATGAAAAACGGTTTGATAAAGAAACACTGCTTTTCAAACCCCCGGCAGATTACTTTATTAAAAATATTATATATATATATATATATATATATATATATATATATATATATATATATATATATATATATATATATATATATATATATATATATATATATGTATATATGTATATATATATATATATACATATATATATATATATATATATATACACATTTATACACACACACACACACACACATACATATATATGTAAATATATATCCTTTTCCTTCCATCCTCCATTTTGACTCCTTTCTCCCCTCTCCTTTCTTTTGACTTTCTTTTCCCTTCCTCCACCTTCGCCTTTCTTTCCCTTCCACCTCTCACCTCTAACGCCCACAGGTGTCGAGTCTCAAGATTCGAGGGCCAAGTCACTCCCACAACAGCTTTGGTCCTCCCCGTCTCCCTCACCCACGTCTCGATTTCTCTGCTGGACGCCGCCCACTACTGCTCTCTCGCGCCCATCCTTGACACTCTCCCAACCAGGCTGCCGGCGCTCAACACTCTGGGTATGGAGAACACTGGGGGAGAAAGTGCGTGTTGGGAAAGGGTGTAATAAAGTGTGCGTGGAGAGTGGGACGAATGAATAAAGGGAGGGTTGAGGGAGGGGAGAAGGAGGGAGAGAGGGAAGAAGGAGGGAGGGAGGGGAGAAGGAGGGAGAGAGGGAAGAAGGATGGAGGGAGGGGAGAAGGAGGGAGAGAGGGAAGAAGGAGGGAGGGAGGGGAGAAGAAGGATGGGTAGAAAAGGGTGGGAGGGTAGGGGAGAAGGATAGAGGAAAGGAAAGAGGAAGGGGCGAGTATAGAGGAAAGAGAAGATGAAGCAAGAGTGAGATGGCAGGATGAGGGGAGAATGAAAATGAAAGAGGAAAGAAGGAAGAACTGAATGAAGATAGAAGGGTTAGAACACTAGTGACTGAAGTAAGGGACAGAAAGAGGAACAATAAACATTGGTAACATAGCTAAGGGACCATTGCCATATTCCCTTGTACCTAATATACTGGACAAACTTTACCTAATGTATTATATCCCCAATGAAACATCACATAACAAGAAACAAAGGCATAAGAACCCCCCCCCCAAAAAAAAAAAAAAAAAAAAAAAAAAAAGGCTCAAACCTACGTATTTAAAGTACTCACTCACTAACATTTTTACTTCATCTTCCACACAGACATTCTTGTAGGCGAGGACATGGTACCTGAGGCACTGCACGCCCTTCCCATGGTGCGGGCGGTCCACCTCTACCTCGCGGGCGTAAGCAGGTCTACCCTCGCGTGGGCGTGCGAATGCGCTCGCCAGCTGGAGCCTGAGAACGGGTTAGTGAGAGAGAGAGAGAGAGAGAGAGAGAGAGAGAGAGAGAGAGAGAGAGAGAGAGAGAGAGAGAGAAGGAGAGGGAGGGAGAGAGAAAAGGAGAGGGAGGGAGAGAGGGG